GGTTATACAAATGTCTTCAGTTGTGAATATCAATCAAAAGTATACTTAGGATACGTGCACTTTTCTGTGTATTATACCACAATAGAAATTTAAACAGAAAATTTAAATGGTTGTTCAATTATTACAGTCATGAGTGTGTTTTGGGCATAAGAAAGATAAAATGTGCTTCCTGGAATATATACTATTGGAAAAAAGGTATCTTTAAAAAATCTGTAAGCCTGTGGTTTATTATAGAGGAAAACAGAGCTTCATTGATCTGCACAATCATAATAGAAACAGACAAGCACATTTTGCATCAGGAGCCATTAGTGGTTTGCTGAACACATTAAGAGCAATATCCTTGAGCATGGAGTCAAATAAAAATATCAATGATACTATAAGTTTTTAAAAATACTTGCTAGCAGTTCCACTTTCATATAAGAGCCTCACTACAAGTTATGTGGATGAGACACTTTATCCCCATAGTACAGGTCAGAACTCAGACCCAAGGAATATTGTCATTAGAAATGATGGCAGAAATGGGTTCCTAACCCTCGTTCAGATGGAGTTTTAATATCTTAATATTCTAGGACTTCCTAAGTAATTTCAACCTAAAGACCCCCACCCCTTTTTAGAGATGAGAATGTTCTGAAAATCCTGAACAGGATAACACATGAATTTTTTTATATAAATTAAAATAAACATTATGACCAAAACCTCTGTGAATTCCATGATGTTTTAAAATGAATTTATATTAATCATAGCTATATGTTTAAAAAGTGGTCATGCAAACAAGTCATGATATATTTTAATTTTTTAAGCTTTTATTTATTTGAGTGAGAGAGAGAGAGAGCATGAGTGGGTGGGAGAGGTGGAGGGAGAAGCAGACACCCCACTGAGCAGGGAGCCTTACATGGAGCTCAATCCCAGGACCTGAGATCATGACCTGAACTGAAGGTGGCCACTTAACAGACTGAGCCACCTGGGGGCCCCATGATATATTTTTAATTTGGAAGATAATGTTAAGTGCTTATATGGATTCAAGAATATCCACATAATCTAATGGTCAAATAGACTAAAGGTCAGGAATCAGCATGGTTTGAGAACTGACAGAGCCTGTGGTTTCTAGTCCTCAGAATTCCTGCAAAAACTCAGAGGTGAGATGTCATACTCTAGACTTCTACAAGGAGTGCCAGGCTCATTACTTATTAGCTTCCAGCTTGGTACAGCAAAGAGCTGGAGCTTCTGTCTGCCTCCTGTTCATGCCCTTTCTGCAAACAGTACCATGTTTCACTTTGAAGAACCTTTTCCTACTCTCAGTTCACGTTATGGTGTGGGGCTGACTTCACCCTATCTAAGACCTGCCAATTGGAATGTTGCTTCCCTGGTCACAGTAACAGGTACACGGCTGGACAAAACAAACAGATTGGACCAAATAATAGTCAGTATTAGGAATTTGGTTAAATTATTGGGAAATAGTTATCTTTTGGTTGGGGTTGCTAAGTCAGTAGGATACAGCCTAGAACTGTGGTGGCTGTTCCACATTGTATGGAAACAATCTCCTGGGAAGGAAGCTAACGCAGAGAAAACAGAGGCTAGACATGGAGGGTAAATCTGACAATATCACTCAAGCACCTGGATTCATCTGTGCCTGAAGCTGAGATCTACCCTTGGACTTAATAAATTGCTTTCTTTTTCTCTAGCAAGATGTATTTCTGCTTCAGGACTTGTAACCAAAGGAGTCCAGACTAATACACTTGGGCAGATAAGAGCCTCTATATGCTTCAGTTGCCTTACCTTGAAAATGGCAGTGATTATACCATACTCAGAGAGCTCTTATAAGAATCAGATGAAGTGATGAGTACAAAAGCACGTGGTAAATTATAAATTGGTAGAAAAGTGTTCATTAATGCTTGCCATTGCCCTTGATTGTGAGGATATTACAGAAAAGAAGATATTATAGAGGAACAGTAACTACAAACAAACAAACAAAAACCCCTTGCTTTTTCTTTCTTCCTGCATAAAGAGACCAGCAAAATTTAATAAGGGCTGGACATATGACAACTCATATAATTCCTTTCCAAATTCAGATCTGAAATCCTACAAGTTCAAAGAATCATGTGGAGGGAAGATTATATTAAGCTCCAGGCTACAAAATGAATTGCTGATATAAGAAGCAGTGGACGGGTCTCTGAAGAGCTTTCCTCATCCCACCTGCATGTTGAACATATTGAAATCTAGATTTGGGCAACTATAAAGGATATTGCAGGACAAGGGCTTATTTAGACCACAAGAACAGCATGGCACTATCACACAACACATGCATGTGCTACAAATTCTTGTTAAATGACCATAACATAAGGCCTTCTTTTAAACTTGGGTGACAAGTCTCGCACAGCTGGGGGAATAAAAACCATTGTGCCCCGCTCCTACATTTAGTTTCTCACACGTCTGCTGAGTGTAACTCCCTCCCCAGAGTAGAGAGAGGGAGATTATTTCCACATTTCCTGGAGAAAAGCCTGATCACTCCCTCGAGGTGGCCATTACTTAGCGAATTCTAAGACAAGTTTGGACATTGGACTCTCTATGCTGACAAGAAGTTACAATAAAGGTGGTTTCTAGAGTGCCTGCTCAGGAAGACTTAGTGCCAAATGTGGCTAAGGTGAGCACACAGTTTTTTGTTTTTTGTTTTTTTTAAGTGCAAATAGTCTTTTTTCTTTGGATCTTAAAATATGTGCATGTTAAAAAAAAGACACTTAAAAAGTATAGAGAAGGAAAAAAAAGGTACTCCTATTTCTCTATTTCTAAATCTATAGCTAAAGGATAGTAAGAATGAGTTCTATTTTTTTAATTGGAATAGTCTTACATTCAACATTGTGTTTTGTAATCTACCTTTGTCACCTAACGTTATAGCATGGGCTTTTTTCAATGTCAGTAAATATAAGCCAACATTTTCCTTTCTGATAGGACATAATTTATGATTACATCTGTATGAATAGATATTTAGGAGTTTCCCTTCTTTTTTTTGTATTTTTTTAAAGAATGGGGCCAAGTTTGTATCTATGGTTAAATCTTCAAGATATAAATTTGAGACATTCCTAGAAGTGGCGCCACCTTGTCAGTCACATGGTATTCAAAATCAAGGCATTCAAATATGGCTAAATTATCCCCACTAGAGTTTCACTCCCATTGGCATTACATGGTAGCATGTTCATCTAGATCCCTAGTAGTACCTGATGCTGTCATCCTTTTGAATCTTTCCTGCACCCTCTTGACCTTGAACTTTATCAGAGGAGCAACCAGATAGATTGGAAAGAAAATCATGGAGAATAGAAAAGTTGAGCTGGGAAGGACCCTAAGAGGGGAAGAAGAACTGTGCACATAGAAGAGGATGGAAGAGCCCATTTGGACTTTTCTGTGTCACTAGTAAATGCTGGAATTCTATGACGTGATGGAACCTTCTAATCAATATACACATATTACCAATTTAAAAAATAGTTAAAACCCTTAAAAGTATCAAAAGGTTTTGATTTATCTAATACAAAATTCTTATAGTCTAATAATGAGGCCCTTTCAGACCAGTCCAAGATGTCTCAAAGAAACAGTCTCTTGTGCTTGAACAGACAGGAAACAGTTTGGAAATGGTCTAGTTCCTGTGGGAAACTTCCCCAGACTATCGCTATTGGTCACTATAAGCCTCTGTGAGTACACTTGCCTTCTGGAAGGATGGGACATCAATGAGGACAAGGACTTTAGAAATGAAGTGTGACATATGTTGTCATGCGGGATCTTGAACCAACTCTCTAAATCAACAACAAATGTGTCCAATAGTCTTATTTGGTACAGTCTGCCCCTGGCAGTTGCCCCTTGGCAGGCCCAATGTTCTCAATACTTGCCTTTCGAGGAACACGTCAGTGCTGGGCTAGCTTTTGCACTCATTTTCTCCCAGCGTGTAATGTCCTTGCAACCTCCTCTCCCTCTTGTGCCAATTCCTATTAGTCCTACTTCATTTATGTCAGGCCCTTCTGTGAAGCCTCCCTCAACCTCCTCTACCCTACAGTGCTACAGTTCCTTTAGCCCCTTTAGGACATAGTACCTACACCTTGAACTCAATTACTGTGCTCAGATCACTGTGTTGCCACCATAAGTGTGCATATTGGCCCTCCCACTGGACTGAGGGTGAGGGCAATATGTGTGCCTCCTTATTTCTAGTATCCCTTGCACCTGGCTTCATGCCTGCCGCAGATATGGCAGGTAAAGGTATGTGAAACCAAATAGAAAAATGGTAGCTATTAATAAATATTGAGGGAATGTTGACCAAATATTTACCTCTATTTCATTTATTTCCATAGAGCATTCAGAGTACAACAAACAGATAAGTAAATGTCAAATCTATAAGGTCTCATTATTGTCCCCATTTTATAATGGAGAATACAATGGATGAAAAAAATAGGTGCTCGCAGAGATTATGTAACCTCCCCAAGGCACACTAGTAAGGAACAAATATTTGGATTTGGGTCTGCCTGACTCCAGAGACTCTACCCTCAATCATGACATTATCCTGTCTCTAGCTCTCTTGACCACATTAGGAAACTAAAGCCTTACAATCTGGAATCCATTCTGAAAGGCACTCCAAACTGAGTGGGTAGAAAAACACATAGCATTTTTTACTAGTGCCCCACTATAAATGGGTTTTCTTGGATCGCTTACAGAAAGGAAAGGGAAACAAAGGGAAAAAAAAAATCTATCAGAGAAATTCTAAATGAGATGAACCATCGCAATCTGCCCTGTCTCTTTATGCTCCAAAGGGGTCTTGCTGGAGAGGGGTGGGAATAATAGTTTTTAAGCAAATGATAAATATGCTGTGCTTCGAATGGAAACAAAGCTTCAGCAAACCTCTTGATCATCAAATCACACACATGAAATTAAAATAAATTAGACTTGGAAATGATAAAGTTGTGACTATACAAATGCTAATTAAATTAGTATTGACAGTATTCTAAGTTGAGGTCAAAGGGAAGATGGCCCGTGTGCCCTGGCAGAAGGTGAGGCCATCTTATGCACAGTGACAGGTGGGTTGGGGAACAAAGACCACAAATCACATGTGCCAAGACTGCCAAGTAGGCACAGGCAACCCTATACCCTTGCTGTGGATAAAGGGCAATTACATCTTCCCTCAACCAGAAGCTCAGCATTCCCATAGCCCCTGCAGCTTCTAGGGACTTTCTGACCCATCACCCCATTTTACCTCCTAGTGCCGTGGGTGAACTGATGTCTCCTTCCTTCTTATACTTCCTATCTTTCCTGTATGATCTCTCAGGGCTTCATTAGTTTCTGTGTACAGGAATTTGATCCTTCATTCATTTATTAAATAATTTATGGAGCACCCATGATGGGGCAGTCTTTCTTCTAGGTACTGGGGATATATCTGCTTTGTTAAGAATCTTGGCCCTCATGTAGCATACATTATAGTGAAAGAGAAAGAAAAGGGATAAAGAAATAGATGCAGAACAGAACATAATGTTAGGTGAAACCTGATGGTCTGAAAAAAAATAAAGCAGAGTAAGAGAATGAAAAAGGATAAGATCTACTAGTTCATACAGAGAAGTGTCAGGAAAAATTTCTGTGGTAAGATGACATGTGAGCAGAACCAGAATGAAGTGAGGAAATGAGCCGTGAGAATTTCTGGGGAAAGTGTGTCCCAGGTAGAGGTGAGAGTACATGAAAAGGCCTTATGGTAGGAAAAGAGCTATGTATGTCTGAAAAGCAGAAAGGAGGCTACTGGTCTGGAGCTGAGTCATCAGGGCTGAGGATATAAAATGGGCTCTGAGAGTTAGCTTGTGAGCAGACCAAGTAAACATTTCAGGGACAGAAGCAAGAGAAGGAGCAGGAAATCCAAGTGAGAACTAATATTGGCTCTGACGAGGTAGTGGGGTAGAGGGAGCGGAGATACTGAGGGATAAATTTGAGATATATGACTCATGGAACACTACATCAAAAACTAATGATGTAATGTATGGTGATTAACATAATAAAAAAAATCCAAAAAAAGAAAAAAGAGAAAAAAAGAGAGAGATTTTTAAGTAGAACCCATAGGATTTTCTGAATCACTGGATGTAAGGAAGAAGAAAAACAGCGGTCCTGGATGATCCTGAGACTAATCTGAGTTGATCTGAGACTTCTCCATTCTAAGGAAGAGTTCCATTCAGGATTTTCATGCTACCAGTGGTACCAGAGGTACATTCCAAGGGCACAAGGAAGAGCCGCTCATTCATTCATTTACCCATTCGCTTATTCTAGCATTTCCTTATCCCCTCCATACATCCTATGTCTCTAGCCTAAGGGCTAGAGAGATGAAAAAGGTAGGTTTTAGTAATAAGCATTTTAATAAATATCAACATAAAGATGTTGACTTAAAAAAAAAGAATCTGGGGGAAAGATATTGAAAGTGATTAAGTCTCTAAAAGGTACTTCAGAGACCAGGAACATTGATTCCTAAGTGCCCATCCCAGGGCCTACTCTCAATCTTGGCAATACTGACATTTTGGGTCCAATAATTCCTTGTTGCAGGGAGATATCCTCTGCATTGCAGCATGTTTAGCAATATCCCTGGCCTCTATCCACTAGAAGCCAGTAGAAACACTTGCCCCCACTCCCAGGTGTAACAACAAAAACATCTTCAAATTTTGCCAAATATCTCCCGGGGAGAAAATTGTCATTGTCGAGAACTGCTACTCTAGGAGATTGTGGGACTGCTCAGGGTGCCAAAATCCTGTGCACAGGGGAAAAGACACCCAAGTGTCTAATGTGGTAGCTTGATACACAGGGCCTCTCTCTTGGTGCAGTCAAGTCCCCCTTCAACGCCTACTTCTGCAGGGGAATTTCATGTTCTTTTCTAGCTGGAAGAAAATGCTCCTTCCTGAATTGCCAGAGTATTCATCATGTTCTACTCCATGTCACTTTCAGTACATCTGTATCTGCTCAGCTGCTGTCTACTAGCTATGTGCCCACAAACTACAAGGTGCGCCGGCTTATCATCTTCCTTGATTAATGCCTATCTCATCATTTGGATCCCAGCTCAACTATACATCATAATTGGGTTAATGTCCACTCGAGGCTCCAATCCTAGCTTGCCCCCCTTCCCCCCACCACTTTTTTTAATGCCTTCTTCATTTGCAATTTTACTTATATTCGAGAAATCATTTGATTGTGAGTGTTCTTCCCAGGAATGTGACCTCCACGAAGGTGGAACTCTGGCTATTTTTGCGTACTATTAAACCCCAACTGTTAGCACAGTATTCAGGATATAAAAGACTCAAAGCTTGTTGAATTTATAAATGATTAGATTAATAAAGATAATGTTTGTAAGGCACCCTGTAAAATGTCGCAGTAAACACTGAATAACTGGTAGTTGTGATATTATTCTACTCTTGTTATTTATAGTGGGGACAGAAAGACACATGCTCAGAGGTTGCAAAGTTATGCTCACTAATTCATTTCTTTTCTTGTCTCTTTCTCCTTTTTCTTCTTTCTGCTTTTTCTTCCTGGTCTCCATTAACCTCAAGGTATGCAAAATAAGCTTCTCTGTATTCAAGATTTTATAAGAGATTAAGTTTCAAAGTCTCGTAGAAACCCAGAGAACGATTAAGTACAATGAGACACTATTGTAGGTTTCTTCAGGTACAACAGAGGTAGCTCCAGATCCACCCAAGTTAAGTTCCAAGGACAGTTTCTACATAGAGCAACATGAGCCACAAAGCAGCCTTTCCATCCCAGCTTCTCATCAGGCTTTGCCTCCATGGGGTTGCTTGTGGGCTGAGTGATTAAGGCTGAGATGGATGTTCCAGAGCTGAGTGGGGCAGAGAGGGCACCCTACCAGAGCCTGTGTCTCCTTTTCAGAGACAGTCGTATGTCACAGACAATTAGATTAGTGCTCAGAGCTGGAAATGCAATTCAACTGTCTGTAAAAACAGCCCACATAAGTTATACTCTTGGCTCTAAGGGAAGCTTCATCAATCCTAGTAGGGGTGAGCCAGGACCCCCTACTTTATCTTAGAACTTCCTGGAGCCACCTGCTTGCTCTGGGACACTTGCTATCTGAAGACAAGCAAATGCACATCAAATACCACTTCCAGCCCTTGGGACAGTTAACATGGATTAAATTTTATTAGGTGGCATGGGTGGTACATCTCACCCAGGCAGTAACAAGCAGTAGTCAGTCCAACCCTGATTCAGAGTCTGAAGGGTGTTGGCATGACTCCTCTTCACTTATAAAGAGGTCTACTGGATAAACACCACATGAGGAACCAGCTGCCATATATACTCAAGCATCCAGAAATTCTTCCTTTCCTTCCTGTCTGGAAACATCTAGAGACACCTGTAAATGTATGAATGACTATCATGACCATAAAGATAGTAAACAGTCTCCTGCTATGTACCTATATATATTCAGTGTAAGTATTAAGGATAACCATACTTTCCCAAACACAAATAATCCACATGCAGAAGGTTCTCACTGACCTGACAATTTGATCTGAAGCACAGACTAATGGTCTTCAATCTATTGTTGTTTTAGCCTTAGGATCCCCCTTCCTCTATCACTTTCATACAGGAGCTCTACATTGTACTAGGTGAAAAGTTTGAGCCACCCTAAATAAAAAGATATATTCTTGACCTCCTACCTCATTCCTTGTATCAGCCCCTGAGATTCCTTTTTGGAATGTAAAACAGTCCTTAAAGGCCAGTTTGAAAATCATACTGCTCAAGAATCTACATGTCTACATCGCCAAAGATCTTAAGAACCCAGTTTTGTTCTCAGTGGAGAATGTCGGGCCTCAGCCCTTATCCTCATTCAGTTCCATTGGGCCCTTGAAGAATCAAGACTTGGGTTCATGGCTGGCTGCCCCTGGACAAGAGTACATCTTGAAAGGGGATGTGGGCTGCATTCCCAATCCTCCTCTGTGCCACAAGCCATGTACCTTGGCACAGGGCTTCCTGAATCTAGAGGCAGAGACACATTTTCCTAGTTTGCACAAAGGTACATGCAATACCTCCAGCTCATGCATTGGGATTTTTTGCTATATTCTAGAAGATACCTCCTTAATTAAGAGCAAGAAAACCCCAAAACAGCAAAAATAAGTGATAACAGGAGAAACAGACAGGAAAAGCATTAACTGGAGGGCTGACATCAGATTTGGGACAAGAATCAAGTTCCAAAGCTTAGAAGGTTTTCTCGAGAGAAATGTTAAATGTGCTTACTGTTGGTTTTTATTTTATTTTTTTAAAGATTTTACTTATTTATTTGAGATAGAGAGCAAGTGAGCGAGAGAAAGAGAGCACAAGTGGGGAGGAGAGGGAGAAGCAGCCTCCCCACTGAGCAGGGAGTCTGATGTGGGGCTTGATCCCAGGACCCTGGGATCATGACCTGATCTGAAGGCAGACACTTAACTGACTGAGCCACCCAGGCACCCCTTACTGTTAGTTTTTAAACAAATGTTTGATGTGCTTACTTTGTACATGTTCTTGGTGCACTGCGTTTTATATAAGTGGATGAAGAAACAAATTAATCTGAGTAAAAGATAGGTTTATTTGAAGAGACTGGCCCAGTGGGAGATGCAATTCTTTCTTTGAGGCTTGCCACCCCCAGGCCACCATCCAGGCCAGTTGGGGCCTGCATGAAGGGGGCCGTACATGTGACTAGATAAGCTCCACTCACCCAGCTGACCTGGCCACCTCCCAGACTACCATGCACTGCATAGCAGTGCTGCCCAGTCACCCGGCAGGGCAGGTGCTCCTACTCTGCTTAGGGGAATTAATAAGACAGAGGTGAAAAAAATGATTCACAGTGTTTAATTATTCTTTAATTATGTTCCATGTCATTACCTCTGCAAGGACTCTTACAGGGCCTGTCCCTATCCAGGGGAGAGTTAGAGGGGAAATTAAAGAATTTCTATCCTGACTCTGTAGTGCATTCCAGGTTTACAAAGTTTTCCCGTCAGTCTAGTTGGGCATGAAAAGACAGAAGAATGTCTTTCCCTCAAAAGCC